TGAGGACTTTAACACAACATTTAGAGAATGAATATCAATATTGTTTAAACACAAGAAATAAAGATAGAAGGAATTCATTATATGAAGCAACTTCACTCTGACACCAGAAATAGACACCAAAGAAAAGAAAACTAGAGAGCAGTATGAATATAGATGTGAAAATTCTCCACAAAATATTAATGAACAGATCCAACAGTGTATTAAGAGTCCTACATCCACACCAGGAAGGGTTTATGATGGGAATGTGGGAATGGTTCCGTATGAGAAAATCAATCAATGCAATCTAGTACATCAAATGAACAAAAGAAAAGGACCATACACTTAATCTCTATGGGTGCAGGAAAGCATTTGCTAAAATCCAACACCCTGTCTTGATAACACTTATGAAGATCGGGAATGAAGGGAAGGAAATTCCTTGATACGATTCAGGGCATAAGTGAAAAGTCAACAGGCAACACTATACTTAATAGAGAAAGACTGGGAGCTTGAAATCAGGAATACGACAAAGTGCTTGCTCTCACCACTTCAATTTAATATTCTATTAGAAATCAAAGACAGAACAATAAGCCAAGAAAAAGAAATAAAAGGTATTCAGATTGAAAAAATAAAAAGAAGTGAAATAACCTCTATTTGCAGATGAGACATAGAAAATCCCAGAATCCATAAGAAAACTTCTAGAGCTAATAAAGGTCTTTAGCAAGTTGTAGGGGCAATAAACAAAAATCAGTTAGGCTCTACACAGCAGCACTGAGAAATCTGAAAGGGAAATTAGGCCAACAATAGCACCTATGAGAATAAAATACGAATAAAACAAACCAAGATGTAGACTTATAAAATGAAAACTATAAAACATTCCCAAAGAGATTAAAGACTGATATAAATGGAATGATGTCCATATTTCATGGATTAGAAGACTTACTGTTGTTTAAATAGTACTACCTAAAGCAATCTATAGATTCAATAGAATTCCAACAGTCTTCTTTATAAAAACAGAAACACAACCCTCAACTTTATATGACATGCAAGAGGCCTTTTCCGGATTTTTTAAACACACTATACAGCTATACTACTCAAAACAGTCTGGTACTAGTATAATATGGACCAATGGAATAGACTTGAGAGCCCAGAAATAAACCCAGATACCCAAGGTCAACTGATTTTTCACAATAATGTTAAGTTCATTTAACAAGGAATGAAGAGTCTTTTACATAAAT